GGTGCAAATTACTGACCTCTGTCATCATTTTAAGTGGGGGAACTTGCACAATCGGTGGCTGACTAAATACTTTTTTGCCCCACTGTACATAGATCTGACAGTATAGGTTCTGAGGTAACTGTTTACAAGATGTTGTATCCTATCCAAAAGTTCTTTGCAATTTTACATTGATAAACATTATCCTTAACATATTTGACCCGCACTAAGTACTATGGCCATCACACTGTCGTTTATAATTGTTTAAATAACTCATGTCTTAACTCATTCCATCACACAGAAAATAAAAACTTATTACATCACAAAATGTTATATAAGCCATTCATAACAACCTGAAAGGTTGGGAGTTTAAAATGCAAACCAATGGAAGCAGAAGTAGAAGACTATAATGTCACAGAGCACACGGTGTCTATTATTGTGTAGACATTTATAAATAAGAGCTTAATAAAGACGATTCATTTCTTAAGAAATATGCAGGTGGAGTGGTCTTTATCAAAAGTAGAAGTTACATCTGTGGCTAAACCATTGTACCCAAAAACTTTAAAAATCTATAGTTTGTGAGGCTATGTAAGTAAAGCTTGCTCTTCTCGCCCGTGTGTAACAAACCATCTGTTGGGGGTTGTGGATTTGACACCTTAGCATTGTGAAAGTGGGGAAAACTGCTTCTGGCTGTGCATAAGATTTCTGCTTGCAACTTAGAATCTCAGTTCTAAATGAAATTCAGATGTTTTTTTAAGTATGGCTAATGTATTATTTGACTTCTAAGTCTTACACTCACACACACACACACACACACACACACACACAAAGAACAACAACAAAGAGAAGAAGAAGAGGGTGTAGTTTACTACGCATCATAAAAAACTTCCAACTGTATCTTTCTGTTCTGACTTTAGAGTCCTTGTTCGTTTACTGAGCCGTACTTTGGGAGTCATACTGTTGTGATACTGGGGAGAAAAGGGTAAGGTTTGATAGACTAAAACCGTTACACACAATACTTCAAAAATCTAAAGAGTGTGTGAGGCTGTTAGCTGTGTTGTCCAGCAATAAACTTATCTACAGTGTGTTAGTAAAAGAGTGACTTGTACTTCTGTCCCATTAAGGAATGGTTTAACAAATTTCACTGCAATCTATAAAAGGAATCTGGGTTTAAATAGAACATAGTAGTGTTGGATTAAGTGTAGGAAACACTAGTATAAGGTGTCTATGGAACAAATCTCCTTCAGCATTCTCAATATGACCCAAGTGGATGACTACATCAACTCAGTTGATTGTGTTTAGGGAAAAAGCAGCTAAATACACTGAGATTGCTCCACGCTGTTAGTGAGTTAACTCTGGATGTCTGTGGGTTTTGTTAACTTGGAGTGAACAAAAGCAGAAAAACACTAAAAGATGCCGACAGTGAAAGTCTGGTTTATTTCATGAATACAATGAAACATTTTACAGTTTACAGAGCAAAGCAACATGTTATGTGTGTGTGTATCTATATGATAAATAGATACACATAACACGAACAGTGAGAAGTAAAACTCACCGTCTTACCAGATGTTATATTCTGTAAACTTAAAATAAACCACTGAAATTAGAGTTTAGTGTTTTTAAGTCATCTATTAAAAACATGAGTCAACATTACTGAAGTCACACTTTAACGATGATTCACATCACAGTCTTTATGATGAAAAACATGTTCTCTCGTTAGCACATGTCTGCGCTGTCACTTGTCATGAAAATGTCCAGAGTTAGGGTTCAAGCTTCCTCTTCAATTGCCATTGATCATTATTAGGGCCCACAATAGATTTGTCACATTATCCCCATAAACAACATGTTTTTATAGAAATTATTGTGACACAAATATTTAGATTCTTGTTTCACAATGTGCATGAACTGAAAATCTTTAGAGTTTGAGTTCATGCATATATTTATAAAGTATTGCAAAGAATACATTTATACCATTGTATGAGCTACACTTCTTGTAAAAAAAACTGATTGGAGATGCATTTGAGAAAAGCTCCTGCCGTGACCTTCCTTCTGTGAGCGCCCGCCCGCACACACACACACACACACACACACACACACACACACAGACAGAGAGAGAGAGAGGGGGAGATCATTAATACAAAGGATTGGAGCCAGATTTGGATTTTCACTTGTTGTTGGATTTAATATGAATAGTCACATAAAATTCATTACAATTTTTTGCCTTTACTTCAATTAAGATGTTTCTTTAAATCTACAACACCTTCCTTTTCAAAAGGTTTACTGACACAGTAAAGAAGTAGCTAGGGAACTCAGTAAGTATGAGCAACAGTAGCTGAAGGACACTTTCTCCAATAAATGGGATTTCATCATCTGCAGTTCATCAAAAAGTGCCATATTAAAAACAATTCAGCAAACCCTCAGAGTGCGGATACAAACTGTTTTCAGCTATAGAGGTAGAGGTACGCTTCATGTACTTATCAACATACAGTTCAGAGGCTTGCATTAGAGTGCATTGGTGCTTGGACATCTTTTATTCAGCATGGTTATACCATTGTGGATTTAGCTATATAAATATGCTCAAGAGTCTATCATATGTTTGACATGCAACTAAAAATTCGAAAATATATTTTTTAAATCAGTAACTTTGCAAATTTAGAGGAAATGTTTTTGGACAACACATGTGTCACATTTTAAACAGGGTTTGAATAATCAGTGCTAACACAGAGACATTTATGCGCTGGGTATAACAGATATGCTTACCGTGTGAAAGGACCACGGATGTCTTGGAGCAGAGAAACACGCTGTATTGTTGTTTTTCTCTATTGCATAAACGAATCCCGACTGTCAGAAACGCACTGTGCGGGTAGCAAAGTCGGCTCCAACACACCTGCAGGCATCCGTTTGAAAGAAAAGTGTCGCTGCGGCTAGGCTCTTGGGATAGTCAGGCTTTTATTTATATTTGAGGCATTCTGGTGCGTTAAAACTAGCAGCCTCTGTGTCCCGCTTGGATCACCATTCCGAAAATTCAGATATTTAAATAAAATGATGAATCTGCTAGTGATGAGGAGCAACGTAGATCCGTAAAATGAGGTTTGATTAAATTAAACTCTTATGAACAGCGATGAATTCTACCTCTTGGCTGATGTGTTCCAAACAAACGATGCTTTCTACATGGCCAAATTGTATGCTAACTACCTCACACCGCTGTGTCTGATGGGGTGTTTTTATATAGGTGGATTTGGTTTCAGTTGGCCTCTGAGATGCAGATATAAAGAGCAGGTTGTAAAGAAAAAGGTGGAAAAACTACTTGTGATGTCTCAGTTCCTCCTGTTTTAAAATTCTGGACTCTGATGCCGATATCAGGGCTTTGTGGAACCTGTCACCAGTTCCTCTTGTAGCTGAAGAGAGTTCTTTAAGACCGGATTTTTCTGGGCATTCACTGCTGTGCACCAAACATTCAGCTAGGTTTTACACAGTGGTGGTCATGTTTACATCACCTGTTTTCTGCCTTTGAAATATTAAAATCTTTTGGGCTGCTTTTTTAATTAACTGAAGAGGGGAGCAATTTTAGACCCATGAGTTGTGTTTTTATTTCATTCTGTGAGTATAGTTGAACTATGCACACGGTCTCCCAACTGCATGCCAAATGTAGCTTCCCATTTGTCATGCAAACTAGAAAGTAGATGAACCTCTCCCTGGGCTCAGGAGCTGAGTTTGCTTACACATTTCCATGATGTGATGGTTTGTAATTCAAGACAGATGGTGGGAGGATATTTTTCATTTAACCCTCTGCTTGTGTGCTGGAATAGAAATTAGTGATTGTCCATTTGGTGAAGAGTGAATTTCAGTTTCTCTATTTTAGATACTGCAGCAACGTGAGTACATAAAGAAGTATCCAGGTGCAATACACCCGCTCTGGCAGTCATGAGGAATAGAGGGTATGTATGAGCTCTCCTTCTCACATCACATCACTCCACTCATCCATGCTGAGTGAACAGAGAAACTTTCTGGGTTTAAATGCAATGGAGATGTGTTACCTGCGTAACTGTGTTCCTCTTTTAAGAAGTATAACACATAAACATACTCAGTGATCTTATTTATGTACTGCACAGTCAGTATTCTAAAATGCATTTAATTCATATTTAGAAATAAATACATTTATAAACTCAGATTTATGACATGTGCTATAAGTGTAGCTTCACACCAGGCGAGGCACAACAAGAGAATGAGATAAATCATAGTTTAATATTTTCCAAAGGTGTCATTTGTCATAAACTAGCTGTGACAAGCAGGCGGGGTTGTACCCAAACGCAGACTCGCAGACAGGACTTTAACTCAAAAGTCACTGACTTATTGCTAGACAGGAAATAATACAAACTAAACCAGGAGAAACACAACCATGAGGGAGATTGCGACAACGGACAAAGGGAAACAGAGGGCTTAAATACACAACGAATCATGAGGGGATGAGAAACAGGAGGGAAACACAGCCGGGGCTAATCAGACACGATGAGAAAGGGGAAGCAAAACTGAACATGACATGAGACAAGGTACCTTCAAAGTAAGACAGGAAGTTATATACACAGTGATAACCAGGCAAAGACACGCAAGCTTGACAACAGAAACACAGGAACAGAAAAGGGAAACAAGACACAAGGACACAAACACAGAGGGGGTACAGAAGACAAAATCACAAGGGGAACCTAGCTCAGAGACACAGAATAAAAACTAATGAAATTAACCTTAAACCAGACATGATAATAAGACATAATAGTCACCAAAAACACAAACTCCAAATGCTGGGTCAAATGGCCCAGAACCATGACAATCATTAATCATCCAGCACACTACCAGAAATACACCTACCACATGCACCATTCTTTGGTTTATTATAAAAAAAATATAGAAATTTACAAAACATTACTGGGCTACAGTTTTTGTGTGAAGATGGATTTGTGCTAACTACACGTCCAGAAACAAACTGTCACCTCTTGCCATTAGAATGCAAACAGAAACTTGCTGAATGAGTTAGAATTCCACTGGCTCTGTGTTAAAGCATTTTATAATGAAAGGATTTGCTGCTAATGTGTTGTTGGCACTCTACATGTACATGTACTGTAGTACTGTCTGTGTGACTACTCTATGTTACCACAATTGTAGTTCGACATGTTTGCCTGGATGATGGCTCATCTCTAATTGATGTCAAATTATTGGCATTTATAACAGCTGATAAATCCAAATGAACAAAAGTAAAATAGAGATGGGTGAAACACCCTCCAACCATGATATGAGTGTTGGTGTCACATAGTTTAACCACCAGAGGGCACGTTGCACTTGTTGGCATTGCGTGTTTGGAATGTCACAAACTCAACAACCAGCTGATCCAAACAGAGTGGATTCGAATAATCCACGACTTACTTTTTTAAAACGGCATTGTCAGTTTTTCTTAGTAACTCCATATAACTCCAATAACTACATATAACAAATGCTAGGGAAGTTAGATTAGCTAATATATCAGATTTTTAAATCTCCAAATGCTGGTATCAGTATCAACATTAAAAATCACATTATTGAACAAGCTCTGCAAAGGAAGATGAAATATAACATTTTTCCTCTTAATAATAAACACCTTCATTTAGAAATGTAATTCTATTGTCTTTGTGTTACATTTAAATTTGTTTGGTAATCTGAAATGTTTAAGTGTGACAAACATTAATAAAAAAAGGAAATTAGGAAGAGGGCCATCGCTTTTTCACACCATTGTAGGTAATATGACTAACAGCATGGGCCAAGTTCAACATCATTGTGCTGTTTTAAAAAGCTTAAAATATGAAAAATTTGTTTTCATGTCTTTTTGTCAGTGCCACAGTCATCATCATCATCATCATTTATTTATTTATATAGCACTTTAAAAACACACCTGGTAGACCAAAGTGCTGTACAATACTAATATGCACAAAGTAATAAAACCAGACATAGCAATAAAATTAAAAAAAAAATAAAAATAAAAATATCAGTTACCCACAGAGTTAAAAGCCAGGGAATAAAAATAGGTTTTTAATAAAGACTTGCACTGATGTAGCCTGTCTAATATGGAGAGGGAGGTTATTCCAAAAGCATCGGTGTAGCAACAGCAACAGCAACAGTCCAACCCACCATCCCGTGAACACATCTGTACTGCTCCTTCTCAGCATGGACTCATAATGCCGCTCATTGATTATCACCGCTCTGCTTATAGCTTTACTAACTCTTTCCAGTATGTTAATAGTACGGCTTAAATCATTTGTATCCCTCTGTCATTACCAAAGCTCTGAATCTTGATTATTTGCACGTTTGATTTGGCAAAGATTTGCCAGATGTCCAGAGAGGCTGTAATAGCAGGAGAAGGACCAGTTACTTAGTTTTCCTATGTTTTAGCTCATATAATGTTTTAATAAACATTAAATCAATACAGAAATGCAATTTTTAGTGAGAAGAATGTGGTGTTTTAACACATAACACCAAAGGTTACACACCCCCATGGCTGTAGTCTCCCTGTATAGGAAAATGCACATTGTCATACTGCAAAAACTGCTCAAGGAACACAACCTGGTCTCCAGACTTCCCACTTCCAGTCTTACTGTGCACCTGTGGGATGTGCATGAAAAACTTGATCCATAGAGGTCCCAAGCTACAACATACAGGTCTCAAACGATCCACTACCGTCATCCTAGCTTCTGATTACACATTATACGCAATATTAGGTGGTATTAGGTGTTTTTATATACTGGCTGAACATTATATTAGTCTGCTATCATCTCTGCTCTTATGAACACAGCCGCAAATAGTACTTCCCTGCCTGACCTTGGCTTTTGACTTTTTCCTGTCCACCTGTGTTGCTTAGATGGCTGATGGAACCTGCTGCTGCTTCTCATGGCACATGCTGTTACTTTAAACCAACCTCAGGTGGGTGGGGGTGGAGTTGAGTGTAGGTAGGCAGAGAACTAAATCCACACCACACTCATCCATCAGTGTGCCCCATCTTTCCTCCTTCTCCCTGCATCATATTTCCTGCAGCTTAGCTGAGGTACGTCCCTCCTTATACACATTCTGTGGCACATGATTAATCCCACCTCTCATATCTCTTTTCATGTGTCAGCACCTTCAGTGCTTTATAGGCTTATTCTGAGATGAAGTGACAGCTCTACTCTGAAATATCACCAAATTAAGACTGCTGGCATGTGTAAACAACGGAAATATACACCAAAACCCACAAATCAAATGGAGGGCAATGTCTAACTCTTCTATTAAAACTTTGTTGACCCTGTAATATTTAAAGGTTGTTTTGTGTGGTTCAGCTGTTCTAGGTTGGTTCAACATTAGTCATGTCTCAGCTGACTCTTTGTGATGCTGGATGCATTCCTTCTTGAAAAATTGCATTCATAAGTCACAAGTAGATTTATAGGTCCCAAATAAACATGGGCATGTGGAAAATGTTAGGAGCCATTTGTGTTGCATGTGCCAGATAATAATATAAATCCCATCTAATTGACTTCTTTATATAGAACATTTATCTGAATAACAAAAGAACAGATTTGGAAGGTAATATCTTCTAGTTTCTGAAACTATGCTTGCTAAGTGTTTTTTACTGACCTGGTGGATGTTGACAAGTGCAGGAAAACAGGAAGCAACTAAAGCTTTCAAGCAAGTACAATGTATGAAGTACAAAATTTGCATCCAAAACACTGCTATATATTAGTAAAGTACATGAGTAAATGTACATTGTTGCATTTGAGCAACCTATTCATGCTGTGCTATGTCCATTTTTGATATACAGTCTGTGGTCAAGCAGTGTAAAATAGCTGAAGTGTTCAAAAGATTTCCTGGATTCTGGGAGATTACACACAAGCACTATAATTTACATATTTGTGATGGTACATTACGCAGCCATTTACATAAATGCATACATGATGGAATAAAAGAGTAGAGCGCAATGGTTATCCATCTCAGTGACACACATCTAAATGTATATGTGTTATAAAGTTTATTGCATAGTCTGTGAAACTAAAGACTCATCAAGAAGATCCAGATACATTCAGTGAGAAATACTGTTGACTCTTTTAGGGAAGAATGAGTGTGGTCCCACCAAAATCACTGCAACTGAATTATATAAGAATGCAAGTCAACAGAAGCACTTTCTAGACAGGATATATTTATAAAAATGTCCTACAAGAGTGCTGAAATGAAACCCCTTGTTAGTCTGAAGTCACAGAAAGTTCTGCAGGTTTATATAAGAAGGGAGACATTTGATAAGGGAGAAAACAAAGGAAAATTATATCTCTAGAGCTGTGGATTGAGCAGGCAGTATTCTGTAAAAAAGACTTTCTTGGCCTCTGAGACCAACACACCTGCATATGCATGAAGTTAAATGTTGTGAACGAATGGAATTCACTCAAAGGAAATATGACAACCAGTCTTCATACAAGCGTGCATGGAGCCAGCTGAATGTAGCGCACATGCACACGCGCATACAGATGCCCTGTTACTGAGAACCAGCTGTTCCAGTGTGTTTAAATTATCACCTGTCAGCACAAATTTACCCTGATTCTGAAGGAGCTGGAATTCAAAATTTGCCATACTGTTGAAATCACCCACCACCCTCCTTCTGCTGTTATCCATCATAAAGTGCAGGCAGTGAAGGGCTAGCCATTAATTTCCCTCGTTTCCTTTTAAGATCACAGGAATTTAGCTCAGTCTTTCTCTGGCAGCTCTGCATAGCGACCAAACAGGGAGTAGGGAAATGTAAAGACTTTTAGAGACTAAAATGTGCTGTAAGGCAGCCAAATTATTAGAAACATGGAAAATCAATAAAGGCATGCTTTTATCTTCTAGATAAATAATACATTTATCATAAGACATTTTCGCCTTCATATTTGACTCTTTTGTAGGCCTTCTTCAG